GGGTGGGAAAGAGAATCTCAATGGTGGTGTGTTGTCACAGTGGGGTCTCACAAGAGGCAAAAAGGAAATTTAATTTGTACTTTTTAGAGATTAAGAAAAGCTGTCAAACAAACCCGTGACAGATGAGAGGCTGAACAATATGTTTTAACATGGGTTAAAATCAGGAGACCTTGATTTGATTTCAACAGGAAAAACAACAAAAGAAGAGTAAAAACCAAGCCAAACACACAAGGAAAGAAAAGGAGCAAAAAAGAAATGAAAAGAATAGAAGAAAATAACAGAGAAAAGAGGGGAAAAGAAATGGACTGATGTTTATAGATTTAACAGAGTTTGTCAGAGGGACTTAAATTTTTTTCTAATAAATGAATTGATCAAGATGGCTGGAATGAATTTTTTAAAGTTTTAAAACTAAATATTTTTAGTCTAAAAAAAGTTATTTCTGGACTGGAGTTGTGGCTCAAGTGGTGGAGCACCTGCTTTCCAAGCACAAAACCCGAGTTCAAACCTCAGTCCCACCAAAAAACAAATGAGATGGTAAAAAAAGTTATTTCTAGCTGGGTGCCAGTGGCCCTGAGTTCAAACCCCAGTACCAAAAAGTTATTTCTGCCTTATCTCTGAGGGAGGTCTTGAATGATCAAGAGAATCTTTAATAAGATGTGTTAGAAGTAAAACCTTAAACTAATCTTATCTGAATGTAAAGAAGTTATCTGGGAAAAAGCCCCTTCTAGCACAGAAGACCAAGGGAGGAAGCTAACATTTTGCAGGGAGACTTCTATGTACCATCACTGTGCTAAGGGCTTCAACCTCAGCATCTTGTTAATTCTCATTTTGCAAATGAGAACACTAAGACTTGAAGGGAGTAATTCCCTCAAGCATCTCACTGAGTGCCTGAGTTGCATGCAAAAGCCATTTAGGGAAAGCCTGTGGCTTCCATGGGGGATTTTGCATGTATACCAGGAGGCACTTCTTGTGTGTCCTTAGCACAACCGCCTTCCAACACCTCTCCCCAACAGATGTTAACAAAATCCCAGGTGCTCAGGGGGACTGTCCCCCTACTTGCAGTTCTGCCTCTCACTAGCTTTGGGAATTGGCATTTCAGTTCTCTGGACTGTGATTTCCTGGTAAATTAAATTGATGATCTCTAAGGTCTTTTTAAAAGAAGATGAATCCTTCAGTCCCGGGAATCTTAGGTCAGCCTCAGAGGACTGCCCTTCCCTCCCATCCACCAGATGGCAGATACATACTGAGCATTTCTCATGAACACTGCCAAGCATTGGAGTTAAGCACAGAGCTAAGACGGGAATGTGTATTTAAAAAGACTACAGGAAGAACATAGAAATCTGCATAGATCCTGGTGGTCCTCTTGGAGTTTGGGGTGCTTAGGTTCAGGGAAAGACTACAGAACCATTAACTCTGATTGGGGCTCCCTGCCTTAGAAAAGCCATTTGTATCCATGAGGAGCCCCTCCCTGCACTGCTGTATTTAATTCTGGATATGGTATAAATAGAACTTGGCACTCTATCGAAGCATACCACCCACCACTATATTTCGGTTCTTTTGGGACATTAACCAAATCTGAGCCTTTGATTCCCTCTAGTGGCCTAACTCGGCAAATTTTGTATCTGATTCACTGTATTTATTTATTCAGTGTATAGTAAGTGCCTATGTATGCACATCTTTTCTTTCTTCTATGTTATGTGGGGTGGAGGGAAGTGGTTTTATTTGAGCATTGTCAGGTTTAGCACGGGTAGAAGACAGAGCTCCTTCTTACAAGTTTAGTGTAGTGTAATATAAATTTCTCAGCTATTCTGGAGCTGCTTTGGGGGACTTAAGGGGAATGGGCTATGATACCGGTTATTTCTGCTCTGAATGAGTTATCAGGACCTTGGGTCAACTCTTTTACCCCTGTACCTTAATTTAAGCCTTAGTTTGTTCACTGATAAAACACATGTGAGCCAGGCATTAGTGGCTCATGCCTGTAATTCTAGCTAATCAGGCGGTAGAAATCCAGAGGATGGCAGTTCAAAACCAGCCTGGGCAAATAATTCTCAAGACCCTATCTTGAAAATACGCAATACAAGAACAGGGCTAGCAGAGTGGTTCAAGTTGTGGAGTACCTGCCTAGCAAGTGTGAGGCCCTGAGTTCAAACCCCAATACTATCAAAAACCAAACCAAAACAAAACAAAAAACCATGTGTGTGTGGGTTAGATTCAAATCAATTCAATAAATATTTATTGAATATCTACAGTGTATTCAAACCTGCAGTGTAAAACTGAAAGTGAAAATATATAAGCCATGTGCTGGTGGCTCACACCTGGTATTCTAGCTGCTCAGGAGGTAGAGATCATGAGGATCGTTATTTGAAGCCAACCTGGGCTCACAAGACCCTATCTCGAAAAAACCCATCACAAAAAAGGGCTGGTGGAGTGGCTCAAAGTATAGTCCCTGAATTCAAGTCCCGGCACCACAAAAAAAAAAAAAAAAAAAAAAGGAAATATATTAGTTAATAGGAAACTGTTCTATGTAGTAAAACTGAAAGTATTATTTCCATGTCATTGTACCATATAAATTTGGTCAAATATGTGTATAATATTTAAAACTCCTCTCATAGTCTTGCACTTTGCTCTCATTTGTTCCAACAGGACACAATGCTTGAGGTACACATGTCAAGAGGTGATACAAAACAGAAGTTGGGATCATTATGCTAACCTGACCATGTTGGAAACCAAGGAGAGGCTGAATGTTGTTATAGACAGCCCTTGAATCAGAGCCAATGGTATTTATTACCAATTGCTGATATTGAAACTGGAGTTTTGGACCCAAGGCCCAAACTCTTAAGATTCCATATGCCAGGTCCAGCCACCGCCATAAATGCCAAATAAAGAGGCGTGGTGAAGGCAGAGAAAGGAGGTTTATTGATGACTTGGGACATGCCGTGGGAAGAGGCAGAGCCATCTTCAGGGTACAGACATGAGTTATAGGTGTAAGTAGACAAAAGAACTGGGGATAGGGGACAAAAGGTATACATACCTAGACAGTTCAATCAAAAGTGTGATCCAGGTGGTCATTATCTCAGTCCTTGTTCTGGGAGAAGTATGGAGTTGTTATCTGGAGCCAGGCAGGTGGTCCATCCAAAGGAAGGCCCATTGTTGGGTGTAGTTTCTATCCCTTGCCATAAAGATGTTATCATCTGTCTTTCCTGGAATTCAAGGTGATTGCAAAGTGACTGCAAAGAGAAAGGCTTAGAACAAAGACAGATACAAAAATAGGGGACAGATGCCATGTTTATTTGTTTGTTCTTTTGGCAGCACTGGGGCTTAAACTCAAGGCCTCACACTTGCTAGGCAGGAGCTCTGCCACTTGAGCCACTCCACTAGCCCCCTTTGGGGCAGGATTTTTTTCAAGATAGGGTCTCATGAACTATTTGCCCCAGGCTGGCTTCAAACTACCATGCTCCTGATCTCTGCCTCCTGTGTAGCTAGGATTTTAAGTGTGAGCCACCGGCGCTCGGCCCATGCATTTTTCCTGCTATTAGTTAATTTGTGGGTCTGAATAAGGAGTCCATGCTTTTCAGGTAAAGCAGTTTAAGTGCCTCTTACAATATCCCCTTACCTGCTTTCCTAGCCTGTGTTTTTTTGTATCTGTCATTTCCTCTCACCGTATCGCAACACTTTCCTTCATCCTTTACATAAATTCCCATTTTCCAGGGCCCACACCAAATACCACTTTCTCATTTTCAGACAGTTTCACTATCTTGTCCATGCTGCTCTGGAATTCCTGGGCTCAAGCAATCTTCCCATCTCTGTCTCTGAGTAGCTGGGATTAGAGGTGCACATCATCATGGCTGCTAAATTACCACCTTCTTGATAAAATCAGTTGTCTTAGGGAATGCATGGTAGCACACAGCTGTAATCACAGATGCTTGGGAGGTGAAGGTAGGAAGGCTAGGGTCTGAGTCCAGCCCCAGGCAAAAATGCAACACCCCACTTGAAAAATAAACTAAAAAGCAACAGGAGCTAGGAACTAGTGGCTCACACTTGTAATACTAGCTACAGGTGAAGCTGAGATGGAGAAGGATTGCTGTTCCAGGCAGCCCAGGCAAAAAAAAGTTTAGGGACCCCATCTCAATGGAAAAATCAAATGTGATGATGTGTACCTGTCATCTCAGCTATAGCAGGAAGTGTGAAATAGGAGGATGGTGGTACAAGTCAGTCTGGGGAAAAAATGAGATCCTATCTCCAAAACAGAGCAAAAAGGACTCAAGGTGTGGCTCAAATGGTAGAGTGCCTGCCTAGCAAGCATGAAGTCCTGAGTTCAAACCCCAGTGTGGCCAATAAGAGGGAAAAAAAAAAAAAAAAAAAAGCCTAGCAAGCATGAGGCCCCAGTACAACCAAAAAGAAAAAAAAAAAAAATCAGTTGTCTTTATTCAGAGCCACTAAGCAGTAGACACCATACTAGATTTACATACAGTATTTTAGAAGAAACTGGTAAGATTTAAACTTTTCCTAAACCCAATAATTAATTGCCTATAATTCTCCCTTCTCTAAATTGACATATAATCCTTTGATCATGAAATAATTTCCTTAGTCATCTTTTTATCCTCCTAAATAGATGCTACTACTCAGAAACAATTGTTATGGATTTAAAGGAACTCATGTGCAAAAGATGAAGGTTCATCTGTAAGGTTTTCTCCAACTTCAAATTGCTTTGATTCTGTGACAGAGCATTGGCCTTTTGGAACCCTCTGCTAATAGAAGACAGAAAGATCAGAAGAATAGTGGTTGGCCTAAACCATTTCATTGTTGATAAAAACCCAGTAGTTAGGAGGAGAGGCACTAGTAGGCTGTAATTCATGGAGGTTAAAGATGTGATGAATTCCATTAATGGAGGAGTTAGTGTGAGACTTTTAGTACTTCGGGGCAAGGATTTTTTTAAAACCTTGACTGTGGCTGCTTGCCCACAGGTATCTAAAAGTTATCTGTTGTAATGTTTACTCCCTATACATTTTCATCCAGTTTCTACATTGCTCATTAGAGGTTTTCCTCTTCCAGTTTCCTACTGTGTTGGAACCTTGGGGACTCATACCGAGATCAAGAGAGTGGCAGAGGAAAAGGTCACTTTGCCTTGTCACCATCAGCTGGGGCTTCAAGAAAAAGACACCTTGGATATCGAATGGCTGCTTACTGATAATGAAGGGAAACAAAAAGTGGTAAGTATACACCTGGCTAGTGTAACCTCTTCCCATCCTCTATGGTTGCTTTCTTCAGTCTTTCCAGTCTTGTTAGGTCTGAAAGAACCTGAATGGCTTTTCATCTGGTTTATACTTTATATACAAAACTATAGAGAAGAAAGGGTATTTGGGTTGTGAAGATGAGAAACTCTATGTTCTTTGGGCAAGCCAGAAATACTAACAAGCCATATGGCACTTGCCCAGAGAGGGACTCTGCATGATTAGCATCTTTGCCTAAGAAGAGGACAATGAGGCAACAGCTCGATCCCCTAATCCAGTGGGCATAACCCAAAGTCTAGAACTCTAGGAGATTCGTTCCTCTTCCTCTTAAACTATTACTACCTGGCTAGGCTTCAACTTTGCACAAAGTCATGATTTACACCTTCCGAAGATTATGTAATTTGGCAAAGAACATATGATGCTAGGAGCAAATATGCCACATGAATGAAAGCGTTGCACACAAATAGAACCAGCCAGCAAAGAACTGATACTGGTTCTGGAGATGGAAAGTAAAGGAACAGACCTCAGGTCTTCAATGCTCAGATTGGGTAGGGTTATGATGGGCCACTGGTTTCATGAGCTTATGTTCTTTGTGAACAAAATTTGTAGTGCTCTGGCTCCTGAGGACCCATTAGGCTGCCTAAGACAATGACAACTAAGTATCCTGATGCTGTTTTATCCTTTCTGTCGGCTGCACGTAGTTATGGTAGTTTTCTCAATCAGGTTTTTGAACATAATTATTCTCACTTTACTCATTGACTTATTGGTTGTGGTTCAAAGATGTAAGATTTTGTGATTTAGGAAGGCTGGAATAGTGGGGTGAAGGAGAACCTAGTTCATGAGAAGTACCGGCCAGTCACATTAGGGAGTGAGAGGAGATTTTGTTCATTTTTTGATTCTGAATGTATTCTGTTTTACCAATTTTAGAGACATATTTACAGGATGTCTTCATTTTTGTCTTGATCCATCCTCGACACTGAGGAACATTATCAGCTGTCAGAAGTGTGTGGCATGTCCCTTCATAAAGTTTGGCCTTGCTATGAGTTTGAGGGGTACTCCAGTTTTCTGGACCTGTTTTTGCCTTTATGACTTACTGTTTTAAACATTGAAGGGTTTCCTACAATGTATTGGACAATTTTCTCCATTAATCTAGATGCTTTTCAACTTAGGAGGAGGCTGTTACATTTCCATAAACTCATGGTGAAATGAAACTGTCATAAGCTGAAAATACACTAAAAACACATAACCTACTGAACATCAAAGCTGAGCCTAGCCTACCTTAAAAATGTTCAGATCATTTACATTAGCCTGAGTTGGGTAAATTGATCTATGTATTGTCTATTTCATAAAAGTGTTGAATATCTTCTGTAAAACAAGATTTTGTAATTTAAAAAGTCTGTAACTTGGGTAAGCTTTTACACTTTCCTTCTGTTTCCAGAGCTTTACTTCTTTCCCTGTTAATAAAATTAACAGTTGTCCTTTTTCTGATCTGTCTCCATTACTAATTTTATAAAATAGTTTATGCTTGGAAAAACTGAGGTTTTCACTAAAAATAAATTTGAGGATCATTGTTGGAATTTCGCCTTCTTCAGTAGCTGTCTCTATCACCCTGTTATTTTGATACTACTTGTCATTTTTGTACCGTAGCGCATCCTCCTAAGACAACTTGTTCTCTGTAGAGCAAGGTCACCTCAACCTGAACATGTTTATTCCAACAACTTTTTGGTTAGTCCTAGACATGATCTTCTCAGTTGTGAATGCAGTAAATAAGAGCTCATGTTCCTGTACTAAAATCCAAGAACCAATGTGATAAAGACTCTCCTTTAACCGTACCTGAGTCAGACTACTGAGTACTTTCTGACTCTGACTCGGTCTCATGTTAGGCTTCCCTTTCTGTCCTAGTAGAACCCGTTCTTAGCAAGATGCTGCTAAGTTTGTTCAGTAGAAATCCTTCACCCTTGGTATCTGACCACCTTCAATGTTTAATTGCTCTGTTCTGCTTTCAACAATAGTCCTTTCAAATCAGTGGAAGGAGGGGGGATAAAAGAGAATGATGGAGAGGGCGATAGTAAGAACTTGGGTAAATGTCACAGTGTACCCTCAGTACAATAATAATAAAAAGGAAGACAAAAACAACAAAAACCAATGGAGACAAACTCCCTCATCCCTAATGTTTCTTCTTAGCAATTTCCACCCACTGACTTCAACCCTGACCCTTTCTTACGAGCCTTCACTTACCCTTGTTGGAATCAGAGTTGAGCCCAATCTCTCTCCCCAACTTCCAGACCCCGTATTAGTAGTCCCTACACCTAACACCTCCCCTACCTCCAAGTAAAGTCTGCCTTACCATCTCTTTTTTTTGTGTGTGGTACCGGGGCTTGAATTCAGGGCCTACACCTTGAGCCACTCCGACAGCCCTTTTTCTGGTGATTTTTTTCGGGATAGGATCTCCTGAGCTATTTGCCTGGACTGCCATTGAACCTCGATTCTCCTGATCTCTGCCTCCTGAGTAGCTAGGATTATAGGCATGAGCCACCAGCCTATCTTTGTAGACTTAGTTATTTTTGTTGTTTTGTTTTGGTGGGATTGGGGTTTGAACTCAAGGTTTAGCACTTACAAAGCAGGTGCTCTACCACTCCTCCAGCCTTGCCTTATGATCTTTAACAAGTATTACTGAATAATTTTTGATCTCTCTTTTTACCACTTCCCATCTAACTTCTTATCTATCCATCTAACTTTCACCAGTGTTTTTATTTGAACTAAACTAAAAAAGGGCTGCTGGGTTATATAGTTAAGATCATATAAGATTGGAGAAGTTAATGTAAATTTTAAAAGGCATGCCTGTAATCTCAAATACTCAGAAGGCAGAGATTAGGAGGTTTGAAGTTTGAGGCCAGAGAAGGCAAAAAGTTAGTGAGACCCCATATCAGCAAACAAGCTGGGAGTGGTGACACCTGTGCAGTAGCCCCAGCCCCAGGCAAAAATCTTGAGATCCTAAAAAAAATAAAAAAAAACTAGGCAACAAAAGAGCTGGAGGCTGGCTCAAGAGGATGCCACTGACATGGCTTTAGGCAATCACAATTCCTCACTTATCTTCAGTTGATAATCTAAGGTGAAATGGCCATTTATTCAATCATCCAGATCATACAAATTTATGTAGCATGCTAGGTACCAGGATACAACAGTGAAGAGTTCATCAAATCCCCTGCCTCCTGGGAGTTTACAGTGAAAAGACATACAAGTATTAGAAACAAAGAAAAAGAAGGAAGGAGGAATATTCACTATTCACCAGATGTAAATCTGTTTAGCACATATTCTCATGACTAGGATTTTTAGGCCTTTTTTTCCAAAGTGCTGGGGATAGAACCCAGGGTCTTATGCATGCCAGACAAGCTCTCTACCACTAAGCTATATTCCAGCTCCCTATTAGGCCCATTTTACAAAAAAAGAACTTGAGTTACATACATGTGTTCTTGCACACACACATACAAAATGAAAAGAACCACCTAACGTCACCTGTTCTGCATTTTTAAATTGGGCTGTTAACCACTGGCTATATTTTCTTTCTAAATAATTTTAAAGTCCATCATGTGTTATGTGGAATGTTGGGAGAAAATTATTCCAGAAAGAACTAATTATGCAAAGACCTTGATCTGACGCAGGAAAGAGTTTGCCACTATTGGGACTTATAAAAGATAACAAACTAATTTAGCTTATTTTTTTTTTAAGATTCCCACTATAAGAAAGGAACTACAGCAAAGGAAGTAGTGAAGAAATAAATGTATAAAGATAATTTCACTTTTATTTTAATTATTTGTTTTTATTTTCCACAGATTCTCCTTAACTTACAAGGGGGTTACCCCAATGATTGTAAGTTGAAAAAGTAAAAAATGCATTTAATACACCAAGCCTACTGAACACCCTAGCTTAGGCAGACAGTGTGCTGCAGTCTTGATTGTTTCTCCTCATGATCGCATGGCTGATGGTGCTGTGACTTGCTACTGCCACCCAGCCTCTCAAGAGAGTATCAAATTACACATCACTCAGCTGGAAACAGATGAAAATTGAAACTTCAAAATACAGTTTCTACTGAATACATACAAATGCATATGTACACCATCATAAAATAAAAAAATGGAGCTGGCAGAGTAGCTCAAGCAGTAAGAGTGCCTGCCTAGCAAGTGTGAAATCCTGAGTTCAAACTCAAGTACTGCAAAAAAAAAAAAGGCCTGGCACTGATAGTTCATGCCTATAATTCTAGCTACTCAGATATGAGGAAGATCATGGTTGGAAGCCAGCCCAGGCAAATAGTGCACGAGACCCTATCTTGAAAAAAATCCACCAAAAGAAAAAAACCCACAAAACCATCAATAAAAAGGGATAATGGAGTGGCTCAAGATATAGGCCCTGAGTTCAAACCCCAGTAACACACAAACACATACACACACACAAAATTAAATGAAATTAAAAAATGTAAGTCAAACCAATGTAAGTCAAGGACTGTCTACAGAATACACTACCCCCTTATCTATATAGAACATATTTCAGTGGATACTTGAAACCTGAGTCACAAAAAAAAAAAAAAGAAAGAAAGAAACCTGAGGCAGTTCCAAACTCCATATACCAAATTTTTTCCTGTGCTTACATACACAAATTTAATGCCCTTTCCATCTTAACTTAGTATGTATCAGGCACTTATGGCCATGACATTTGCTGTATGAGCAAAACTAGTCCAAATTTCTTTTTCTTTCTTCTAAATTTCACAGATAAATTTGTTTTGACAAGCTGGGTATAAAGGTACATGCCTGTAATCCCAGCACTTAGGAAGCTGAAGCAGGAGGATGGTGAGTTTGAGGCCAGCCTGACCTACATAGAAAGACCCTGTGTCAATCCCACCACCTCTTACACCCCCCCCCAAAAAAAAAAAGATTTGGCCTGTCAGCATAGAATTTTTTAAAAAATTAAGTCAAGAACAACTT